GAGAAAGATTGACAATAAAAAATATGATATAGATTGTAAGAAAAGAAAGAAATGGCAAGAGATCCAGATAGAAATATGCAATAATAGTAAAAAAGGAGAGAAAGGTAGACAATAAAAAATGGGATAGAGATAGTAGAAAAGAGAGAAACGGAAAGAGATCCAGATAGAAATATAAAACAATAGAGAGTAAAAAAGGAGAGAAAGGTAGATAATAAAAAATGGGATACAGATATTAGAAAAGAGAGAAACGGAAAGAGATCCAGATAGAAATATAAAACAATAGAGAGTAAAAAGAGAAAGAAAGTGAGCAATAGAGATAGTGAGAAAAATGGAAATGAATAGAGAAGGTAGATTGTTAGAGAGAATAGAAGAATGGTAAGAGAGAGAGAGAGAGAAAAAGGAAGAATGAGAGCATAAGAGGGATGGAGAGAGGGAGCGAGAGCGTGAATGAATAGAGTAAACAAAGAGAGATAGGAGAGAGAGGGAGTGAAGAGAGAGTGAGGTAGATTGAAGAGTAAGGTAGAGCTATCTATAACTATGAAGTTAGAGAGACAATCAGATAGCCGAAGTGAAAAAGGTGGTGTACAGAGATCGGAATTTTAAATTTCCAGGAAAGATAGGGTTCTTCTTGTTAAATATGTGGCACATGAAGACATAAGAGTGCATAAATTATTTCGAGAAGAGTAATGGCGAAAAGAAGTATCACTAAACTTTTAATCACCACACTCTAATCGACATTTGCCAGTTCAAAGAAACCCCTCGAGATTGGGACTTGCACGTACAAACCCATACAACGCATATAAATGCATATAAATTTTTTAATATATCTTGCAAATAAAGCAATGTTTTGAAGTGAAAATCATTTGACAGGCTTTATTTACCAGATATATAAGTTAAAGGATTATATTGTTCTTCAGGCTACAAAGTGCTAATGAAAAATGGAACGTTTCCAATTATAACCCACAGGATTTCCTTATTTAAATAAATCATCATCAATAAATCGCTTTACGGATGTGGGGAAAAATCCTGTTAAATATAGTCTCCAGGCTGTAAATAAACGCACGTCAAATATTTAGACTTACAGAAACGACACCGGTGGTCCGCGGCCATCTAGAAAAATTTGCTTTTCCAATTTTCGCTAGTTTAAAAAAAAATTGCGACATATCTCGGGGGGCTGAGGTACATTAATCTCCTCGGGGTAAAGCGTTAAGCCATTGCCCTTGCCGTTATAATTAATCATGGGCTGCCGACTGCCAGGAGAGGCCACTGCTCTGCCGCATGGTCCTATGAGAGGGCATAAATTAATGATTTTCAATTAATTCGTTCTAGTTAATTCAAACGATAAGGTGTTTTCTTGGAAGGTTTCATTTTAGCTTTGTTTTATTGAAAAACCGATCCCTCTTATTATTTCTCTTTCTCTCCCTTTTTACACACTGTTTCTTCTATATATCTCTCTATCTTTTTCCCTTTCGTTCTTTCCTCACTATCTTCATTTCTCTTTCTATTTTTCTTACTCTCTTTTCTTAAATTTAACCCTTTCCCTTTCCTTATTGTCTTACTACCTCTACCGCACGTTTATTCTCGATTTTTCTTTTCTTAAATCTATCTATCTTTGTTCCTTTCCTTTCCTTATTTTCTTACTACCCTCTACAACACTTTTATTCGCGATTTTTCTTTTCTTAAATCTATCTATCTTTGTTCCTTTCCTTTCCTTATTTTCTTACTACCCTCTACAACACTTTTATTCGCGATTTTTCTTTTCTTAAATCTCTCTATCACTATCCCTTTCACTTTCCTTATTTTGTCAATACCTCTACTGCATTGTATTCTTGATTTTTCTTTTCTTATATCTATCTATCTCTGTCCCTTTCACTTTCCTTATTTTGTCAATACCTCTACCACATTTTATTCTCGATTTTTTTTTGTTAAATCGATCTATTTATATCAACCATTTTCCCTTTCGCTTTTTCTCACTATCTCTATTTCATTTTTTCTTTCTCTCTCCCTCTCACTCGCTGTCTTCACCCTACTCTCTCTTACTTGCTGTCTCTACTTATTTCCTCTCGAATAATTCATCTACCCCTCCCCCACACTCCCATTTTGCTCTTTTCTCACTCTCTCTGTTTCCTCATTCTATAGTTATCTCTATCTTACTATCTCTCTATCGCCCTTTCTCTCTTTTCTTTCTAACTTTATCACAACTTTATTCTCTATATTTCTTTTCTTAAATCTACCTATCTCTTATCTCTTTCCCTTCACTCTCTCTCTCACTTACTTTCACCCTCTCTCTGTCTCTCTTCCCCCTACTCTCTCACTTGTTATTTCTATTTATTTTCTCTCCAATAATCTATCTATCCCTCCCCACCCCTCCCATTTTGCTCTTTCCTCACTTTCTCTATTTTTTCATTCTCACTCTCTCTCTCTCTCTCCTCTCTCTCTCTCTCTCTCTCTCTCTCTGTCTGTCTTTCCCTTGCTCTCTTTTCTTTCTATCTTTTTCACATTTTTATTCTATATCTTTCTTTTCTTAAATCTACTATCTCTTATCTCTTTCCCCTCACTCTCTCTCTCTCTCTCTCTCTCTCTCTCTCTCTCTCTCTCTCTCTCTCTCTTTTATTACTACCTATATTTCGATTTACTTATCTGTCACAATCGATATCACTGACAATCTAATATCCCATATGTATGTGTCTGCCTACTACTCCACGAGTACAAATTTGTTTGTCCTTGTTTATTTATTTCTTACCACTTTAACGAATACACCAACAACCAAGTTCAAAGCGTTGAAAAAAATTTGGGATATGGAAGAGAATAACGCAAATTTATGTTCGTTGGGAACATTTTTTTGAAAATAGTTGTTTTTTGGAATAATATCTTATATAATTGGGTGTTGCTTTTGTATTGATCCTGCAGCTCTATTTCTCGAATATCAAACATGAAATATCAAATAGCGCCATTTTTCAATTATTTTCAAAATTCTTATGATAATCGCAACACGTATGAAAATCAAACCGTGTAATTAAGTGTTCCTTGGAATATTAATAAGGGCAGATATTAGTATGGAAGATTAAATCATCATTTATATTATATCAACACCGCTATTCCTGAAATGACTCAGAGTCGTTTTATGAATCATAGATAAAAGAAAATGAATAATTCCTTTGATGAAAAAGTACCCTTATGTTACAATATTTCTTATTGTGATTATTTCAAAATAAAGTATAGGCTACAGAAGCCTTAATCACTAGGTATTATATGCATACGCATATAATCATATTACATGATGAGCATTGTTGGAAATAAAATCCCCTACAGGAAATTTTTGCGGTTGAATTCGTTTTATGGTTGAACATACTTATGCCCTATGAACGGATTTAGTAAAGCTAGATACATCCTCCGATCAAAGTTCTTCGCCGTATTAAGTAGTTTATGTAATTCATTTATAGTCAATGAACAAAGATGCTTTTATAATAATTATCGTCGTGGCCATATATTTCAGCTTTTTATGGTTATAAAGCGTAGTTGTAATGGGGCGTTGGTGGCCGCAACGGTTTAGGCGTTGACTTGGCTCTCAACACTGTAAGGTAAAGGTCCCGGGTTCGAATCCACCTGCCCTGCAGTCGAACCCGACATACTTACAAATGGACTTTTTTTCAAAAGCATCGCCACCCTGAGGGTTTAAGTGTTGACTCCACTACGAACACGGCATAGACATCTCCTATTTATCAAAAGACCAGGGAGATGTCCCCTGTGTGGTACTTGTGTACCACATTTTACACACAGTTAAACATTTTACTGATAGATGAGCCAATGTGTGGCTTTTCTTCTAGTCTCAAGGTACTAAACACAGTAGTGAAGGCAGCAAGATGTTCGAATACCTACATATGGTCGCATTTGAATGTATTTATTAGCATGAGTGTTAAGTATGTGTGGGTGGGTCGTGGAGGTAATCCTGTACCTAGCAAACTAAGTTCGCTTTAGGTTACGTGTTTTTAGAGTGAAAGTAGGCGCGGGCGTAATATCATATCCCATTGGCTCCCCAATTTTAGCTGTACATACGGTATGAAAGGTTATATCAGTATGACTGTATTTATTAGCGTGAATGAGAGCGGACCTTCAGCAGTAATATCGAGTACCGTGAAACCTGCCAAATTAAGGTTAGGCTAAGTTTAAGTGCGTTGGTATGTTTCTGGTTTAGAGCTTTTCCCCTCGAATAGAAAAGCTAAATACGAGTTGAGCTCAAGTACCATAAGTTCCACCAGGAAGATCCTCCAGGTTTCCTTCGGGAAAACTGATTCTTTTTGGTTGAAACAAAAAACGAGTTACTGGAGTACCCCTGGTAGTTAGCCGGCCGGGATAAAAATTGTCAGTACTGGACTAAAAAATGAAATTAATTGTTGTAGCAAATTTTTCAATAAATACCATCCAAATTTAATAAAATTACGCTCATCCCTAAATATTTCTGATAATTATTGGACTTGTTCATTAACAATATTTCCTCCAAGTACTATAATAATATCAGTATTTTCTGTCCATTTTTCTGGAAAGTCTGTGAAAGAAATTGTTAAAATAATAAATCAGGAGCTGACCTCCAGTGATTTTTGTTTTAATCTGTGCTAAAATTTATTTGTCTCTATACAATCCTATGTATGTTCGATTAAAAAATAAATTTTTATGCATATCAATAAATGTTCAATTAAATAAACGGTCTTAACTGCCGAAGAGGGCGTCGGTGCGGCAACGATTTAGGCGTTGACACGGCACTCATCACTGTAAGATCACTGTAAGGTCCCGGGTCCGAATACAAGGCGGCTGGACATACTTACAAATGGGCTTTTTTTCAAAATCACCGACACGCTGAAGGTTTATATGACCTCTGGTGTTGCGAAGCCTCGTAAAAAAAACAATAAAAAAATAAATAAAAGAACCGTAATTGTACACGTAATCATTATAGTAAAAGTTTTCAAAATTTTAACATAAATCATGCAGTAAATGTTACTCACGCATAATCGTGAAACACCGCTTCATAACGGTCCTCCTTCATCGACATCTCCTGAAATGATTTCTCGATTAAATCCGCTCTTTCGTCTTTCGCATGCTCATGTGTCGATCCCGTCATCTTCATTTCTTCGTAAGTTTCTTCGGAATTTTGCCCACCGCGGTATACTTTCACGAAACATTTCTCGTAAAAGCTCGATGGAGTTTCGGAACGTTCTATCAGGCTCGAGATTGGTTTGTAATCCTTTTTGTATTTTTCACTGCTGGCTTTTTCTACGCTTTCGTACGGGGCATTCGAGCTTCGGGTCACCCCTTCGTATGTGGATTTGGTAAAAGTCATGTGCTCGTATTTGGTTTTTTCATTCTCAACACGTTTAACCTCTTGGGTACAGGACTGTAAACATTTGGAAGAACGGTCATCAGCGATATCCTGACTGAATGATTCGTCAAACTTGGCATCATAAAAAGATACCTTTTGAACCGTTGGTAAAGATGTTTCACTTTTAAATGTTTCTTCAGTATCTTGGAAGGTTGACTCGTGATGTACCTTTTCGTTTTGCAATTTTATATCGCACGTTGATGCTCCTTTTTTAAAATTTTGTGAATTACTGTACAAACTCTCTTCTACTGTTCTGTTTTTGCCAGATTCATCGAATGGATATGATTTAGCGTTGTTTTCCACAGATGATTTATTATCTCTACTTCCTGAACTTGTATCAAAAGCGCTATGTTTATTGCTTTGCTCCGGCACTTCTTTCATCTTCCCGTTTCGATTATTGATAAAATCAGAAGGCTTGCGAAGAAGAGTCGGACTGGTGGAAAACCTAACACATTTTTCATTTTCTTCTTGGCGATATTTTTCTTTTATTCTCTTCTCGACGATGTCTTTAGCATTCTTTTTGGCGCTAATTGGTACGGGTAGTGTTTTTTCAAAAACTTTCGTGTGGAAATCTTTAGGTTGGAACGGGTATTTATCATTAACTGGATGGTTCTCATAGGTACAATTCGACCAGTAATCTTTGCTGGATTGACCATTTGTGGATGACAACTTTTCACTGGATGTTTCTCGAGCAGTCTGTTTCAAATTATTTTTCTTCTCGGTTGAACTTTTGTCGTGTACATAGACATTTTGGGAATTATAACTATCTGTAGCCCTTGAAGATGTTTCTGGCGCTTGTTTCGATCCTGAAGTGTAGTAAGTGAAAGAGTTTCCATCTGATGAAACAAATTTTTCATTTGATATCGATTCGCCCATGGGTGGATGATTGTCACGAAATGGATTAGAAGAAAGAAATCTTCCTTTTCCGCGTGCTTCGTTTGTACAAAACGGGTTATTTTGTTTAGCATCAGCCTGTTCGCAAGATTTCGACCTTTGCGTCTCGAAATTTGCGTTTTTCAAATCTGAGACTTCCGTTTTATAAAACTTTTGGGATGAATCATCAGATTTGTAAAAAGACAAATGTTCATTATTTCTTACTGGTTCCCCTGTACTACAACTCTCCCAGAATTTCCTTTTTTCCTCTCTCGGATCGAATTTGCGCTTTTCATTTTTATAGTTGTTGATGTTATTGAATATCATGCTCTGAGAAAAGCAGCCTGTTTGATTCACGACTCCTTCGGTTGGCGGATTCGTCCTGTAAATTTCGGTTTTCATTTTCTCCGATCCGGGATTTTTAAAAACGCCGTCCTTTTCTATATAGCCTTTTTTCTCTTCTGTCCTTTCACGCGTCTCTTGGTAAGACACTTTTTTCGACTCTTCAGTCTTTTTAAACTGCACCTGGGGATCTTCGAAGACAGACGGGTTGATCTTCACTTTCGGCTTCTTCATTATAAGCATTTCTAACTTTTTGCTCGGGCTTTTGACTATCCGTTCTACCTCAGCATTGCTAAGCATGGTCGTATCCACTCCATCAAGTTCGAGAACTCGATCTCCAAGCTCGAGATGCTGAGAAGCTAAGCTGCTGTTATCAACCTGTAAATCCACATGTATTAGTCAACAGGGAGAACTTATATAAAAAAATCTTAATCCTTTAAAAAAATGATCGAAAACTTTTTGAAATTTATATATAAAGTGGGAGGTTTATGGGCTGACAATTAGGTGAGGACATCGTCGACTCTCTGCGTGTTTTCCTTCTTTTTCTGGTCGTTCACGGCTATTTTGTTTTAAACCGAGGGTTTTGAGCGTGTCGATCTGGTACTGACTCCCTCGTTTGTACCTCACGTTGTCAATTTCAGAATAGACACAAAACATACATATATGTACATCAATAAAAACATACAAGTTTAGTCACATTCTTTCCCCAGAGTATTTGATATGCCTCGGGGCGGGGTTATAAGCAACCCTCTTGCTTTCACGCTAATAAATTACTTTTACTCTCCAGACGAAATACACTCACCACAGAGTACTCGACATTCCTCAGGACGTTCCTTAACAACCTTTTCCTTTCACGCTAATAAATGATATTCATTTCAATAAATGAACATAAACACAACACCCGATATAAACATAGAAGTCTAGTCACACTCACACAGAATACTCGACATTCCTCTGGGCGGGGTTAAACAGCCCCTTCCTTTCACGCTAATAAATTACGTTCTTTCCTAAAGTTAACATAAACACAGCACCCGATACAAACTTAACATATTCACTCCCTCAGAGTACTCGTTATTCCTCAGGGCGGGGTTGAACACACTCCATTCTCGCTAATAATTTACATTTACTCTACAGACATCAGGGCGTCGGTGGCCGCAACGGTTTGGACATTGACTCGGCGCCCATCACTGTAAGGTAAAGATCCGGGGTTCGCGGCCCTGCATTCGAACCCGAAATACTTACAAATGTTTTGTTTTTTTCAAAAACACCGGCACCCTGAGGGTTGATATGACCTCTGCTGTTTCAAACCCTCGTAAAAAAAATTAAATTCTACAGACATCACAAACCAACCCCAGAATACTCGCTCTTCCTCAGAGCAGGGTTAAAGAACTTCTTCCTTTTAAGCTTATGAATTACATTCATTCCAATAAATTAACATAAACACAACACCCAATACAAACATAGAAGCCTAATCATACCCACTCCCTCAAAGTACTCGTTATTCCTCGGGGTGGGGTTAAACCCACTCCATTCTCGCTAATAAATTACTTTCACTCTACAGACGTTACAAACCAACCCCAGAATAATCCAACTGCCACAGAGCAGGGTTAAAGAACCCCTTTCAGTCACGTTAATAAATTACATTCATTCCAATAAATTTACATAAACACAAAACCCGATGCAAACTTAGAAATCTCATCATACTCACACCCCCCAAAATAACATGCTATTCCTCGGGGCATGGTTGAACCCCCTCCATTCTGGCTAATAAATTAATTTACTCTTCAGATATTTCAAACGAACCCCAGAGTACTCGATATTCCTCGGGGCGGGGTTGAACACACTCCATTCTCGCTAATAATTTACTTTTACTCTACAGACATCAGGGCGTCGGTGGCCGCAACGGTTTGAAAGTTGACTCGGCGCGATATACAAACATAGAAATCTCCTCATACTCACTCCCCCCAAAATAACATGCTATTCCTCGGGGCGTGGTTGAACCCACTCCATTCTCGCTAATAAATTACTTTCACTCTACAGACATTATAAACCAACCCCAGAATAATCCAACTGCCACAGAGCAGGGCCATAATACTGGATATTACTCAGGGCGGGGTTAAACAACCCCCTTCCTACCACACAAATAAATTCCCTTAAATTAACGTAAACACAGGGGGCCGCGGTAGCCGAATGGTTAAGGCGTCAGACTCTCGGTTAGTAGATCCCGCGGTCGTGGGATGGATCCCCACCGTCGCCTCTGAACTTTTTCTGACGCTTAAATGTACCGGTGACCGCAATTGAAAGAAATTGACACGGCACTCAGCAATGGAAGGAGCTGGATCAGATCTCAGTGACCCTGAATTTGGTCCCAACCCCCTTCAAAAATGAGTTTCTTCGATGGAAGAACACCGGCACACCGGGGGTCAAATTCACAATTGTGTTGCGAGCCCCCCCAAAAATGGAGCCAGGGATAAAGTACAATAAGCTGAACAGCTGCAGTGCTCAGGGAGAAAAAATTAAACTAAAAAACTTAAACACAACACCCGATGCAAACATAGATGTCTAATCACATTCACTCCCCGAGAATAACTCGATATTCCTCGGGGTGGAATTAAACCCACTCCATTCTCGCTAATAAATTACTTTCACTCTACAGACATCACAAACCAATCCCAGTATACTCGATCTTCCTCAGAGCAAGGTTAAACACCAGATACAAGCATAAAAGTCAGGTCACATTTATAGCAGAGCACTCGATATTCTCGCAGAGCTTAATTAAAATTATTAATAAAATTTATATGCGTTATTATTTGTTATTTTATTATTTTCTGTGGTAAACGTTGAAAGTTGACCAATATAAGATGTTATAGAGCGTAGGTGTTATCATGCAACCTATCATGTCAAGGTTTTAGTTTTGGCTAAACGTAAACTAGGTGGGTTTTAAAATAACACGTTTCAGGGACTTGGTCGAAATAAAGGTGTTGGATTAATCCAGGACGTTTTTTTATGTCTGTAATACTAAACGTTTCACATTCTAATTTAAAATAATTAATATAAACGAATTTATATTAAAATAGTACAATATAAAGAGATATTCCTCGGAAAATTTACAAATTTATTTTCATAAAATGAACAACGGTTAGTTTAAAATTTGATGTCTATTAATGACCTCAGCTGGAAACCTTAGGGTGAGTAAACGGCTCCCGCAAAGAATAGGCCACGTCCCGAAGTATCGGATTGAAGAACCGTGCCAAAATAACTGAGATTTCTACCTTTGAAATCCTATGATGGCAAATAATTTAAACTTAATTATTTGCATCGCCCTCTTAAGAAGTGAGGACTTGTTTAAGCTTTCTTAGGAGCCGGTTAATTTCAGTTCTGGATGAAAACAATAAATTGATTCTCGCTAATAGAATAAACTTGGATCATCGAGAAGAAGCGATTTGCCGTTCTAGCACGGTGGAACTATTCCAAGACGAAGGGTTCTTTAAACTACATTTTTTTCATTTGTGTCAAAATCATTAATTATGTTCATAATTAATACAGTACCACAAAAGGGTCGTTTATCATCTGTAAGACATTCTTGCTTTCGGTCTGACAAAGTAAGAAACCTAAATTATCCACGTCTTTTGTATTGTAAACATTTTGTTTTAATTAATTTAAAGGAATAACATGAGAATTTCCACCTATCGTTAAGACTAAAAATAAAGTAAACAGCATATACGTGAGCCGGGAAGGTAAAATTATTCACAAAATGTTCGAAATGTTATCAAACAGAAGAAATATTACCACATAATATAACAAAACCGTCTATTTACAACATAATATATTACAATTTATTCGAACGTTTTATTTATTTGCATGTACTTCGCCTAGGTAATGTTTCAGTGTTAAGAAACCTTGTTTGCTGTAATTAAAGTAAAAGAAATGATCAAAAGTTCGTGATTTTTCTGGTGTCAATACTCGATTGAGGCAAAATGGGTTTTATTTTTCGCTTAATTATTTTTGTATGCTAGTAGATTTGACTTTTTTCTGTGCACTTTTTTATTAACCAAATAAAATAGATGTAAAAATTGTCAGTTCTTTTACAATGTTACAACGTAGATCTGAAAATTTTGATTATCGCATTATATAATTTCGTTTTTTATTCTATTCATTTATTAATAAGATAATAAAAATAATCCATTATATTGGTCCGATTGACCAAATAACTTCTTTCATTTAATTAATTCTTGTGAAGGTATTGGTTTAAATTAAAAAGTTAGTGTGTCACGAGCGGGATCGAACCCACAACCTTCGGCTAAATACGCCACGCTCTACCACTTGAGCTATCGTGACGACAATCAGATACCAACTTCCCATCTCAAGTGGTATAGCAGCTTTGGCGTATTTAGCCGAAGGTCGTGGGTTCGAATCCCGCTCGTGACACTAACTTTTTCATTTAAACCAATACCTTACATAAGGAATAAAAATAATGTTTTAAAAAAACGTAGCTAAAGAAGCTCTGTGAGAAACAACGTTTGTTTACTCNTCTCTCTCTCTCTCTCTCTCTCTCTCTCTCTCTCTCTCTCTCTCTCTTTCTCTTTCTTTCTCTTTCTCTATCTATGTAAAAAATGTCTCATTTCGAAAATGCGTATTTTCTCAGCCTTTTAGGTCACATACCTGCGCTAGGTCTAAATTTTAGGCAATTTTACGCAAGATGCCTTTTTTAAATGTTTTCCTAGCTTCAGTCATTCGTCAAATTCAAAAATTCGGTAGCATGTTAATTTTTGAATTTTTACGAAAATCTCAAATTGAACTGTGGAGCAGGAGTCCTGGAGCAGCGCCCTATAGCAAACGATGGAAAATTTTAATCAGCTTTTAATTGGTCACCTCCCGCTTTGCCCGATTTCTCAACATGTTCTAGAATTTTTGAATGTCCTGATGAACGACTGCACATAGGAAAACATTTAGAAAATCCATCTTGTTCAACGTAAAATTTTCAAAATAATGAGACCTAGCGCAGGTCTGTGAATGCATATGCATTTCTAAAGTTGGACATTTTTCGTGCAAAAACCAGGTGGTTTTTTATTTATTTATTTTTTTAATTATAGGAAAGACGCTAAGATATTCTTTTGATTAACAGTACTTTATGAATAGAGTATTGATAATTGTTTTATCGTTTTTATTTTATTTTGTTACGAGGGTTCGCAACAGCAGAGGTCATATAAACCCTCAGGGTGCCGGTGTTTTTGAAAAAAAGCCCATTTGTAAGTATGTCGGGCCGCTGGATTCGAACCCGGGACCTTCACCTCAGTGATGAGCGCCGTGTCAATGTCTAAACCGTAGCGGCCACCGACGCCCCCAGTATTGATAATTGAATCTAGTAGGAGTCTGTTTTAAATAAAAAGTCGGAATTTCCCCTATTTTCCCGATTCGTTCATTAACAAATGTCATCATTTATTCAAAAGTGTTTTAAAATTTAAAAGTCAGTCCAGATTGTAAAAATCGTCTTTTTCCCCGATGAATCATTCGATCCCATCTAATTTGCATTCGAGGCTCACGATTGTTAGTCACACACGTACAATTGTAAAAATCCTTGTACAGACGATTAAAAGAAGAATTATAATTTGACATGACAAATGTAAACTTCAAAAATAAACTTGGTCAAATTCGGCAAAGACATTATGCAACGAAAAGAGAATTTTCAAATTCTTTTTATTAATTTAATTTGGTGGTAAAATTTTTATAATTTAGTGTTTTTGTGTTTTTTGTTTTTCAACAAAAACACGAATTTTTTTATGCCATATGTTTTATTTTCATTTCGGGCCACGTCGCTGGTCGCTCTTCAAAGCTGCAATATTCTTTATAATCGATAAATGCTTCTTTTTAATAACATTTTCTACTGTATTCTACGATTTCTAACTATTTTAATAAAAAAATAATAATAATAATAATAAATAAAATTTATGAATTATTAAAAAAGCATTGCAACTTTGAAGAGGGAACTAGGACGTGGCTCAAAATGGATAGCAATTCAAATTTGATATGGCAAATAAACTAGTTGGTATTTTAGTTCGAAGGAACCAAGAAGCTAGATTATAAAAGGAATTTTTGTTAAATTAATAATTTTCTATTAGGTAAATCATTAATTTAGCATTTTTGTAATCCTTATCGGCCTACATACAATGGAAAAATAGCGAACCATCCTTAATTCGTCCCCAAGGATCCACTAATCCAGGCAATGCAGGACAAAATTAGTGAAGTAAATAAACAAAGAAAAGAAGTGGTTATTGCATGGATTATGGGCCATGTGGGCACAGAAGGTAATTAGAATGCCGATCGAGCTGCAACAATGCCACGTAACCCGAAGACCCTTGTGAGCACGGCGGTCGCCAAAAATTATTAAAAAAATTTATGCTGGAAGATTGGCAAAACTCTGGGTCACAATGACCGACAAATTGAAAGAAGTGAAACTGTCTGTCTAACCGAGGGCTATGGAGAGGTAGGATAAAAAATCAGAGAATTGTTTTGACTGGGGCGTCGGTGGCCGCAACGGTTTAGGCGTTGACTTGGATATCAACACTGTAAGGTAAAGGTCCCGGGTTCGAATCCACCTGCCCTGCAGTCGAACCCGACATACTTACAAATGGACTTTTTTTTTCAAAAGCATCGCCACCCTGAGGGTTTAAGTGTTGACTCCTCTACGAACACGGCATGGACATCTCCTATTTAACAAAAGCCCAGGGAGATGTCCCCTGTGTGGTACACAAGTTAAACATATACTGATAGAAAAATGTGTGGCTTTTCTTCCAGTCTCAAAGTACTAAACACAGTAATGAAGGCAGCGAGATGTTCGAATACCTACATATGGTCGCATTTGAATGTATTTATTAGCATGAGTGTTAAATATGTGTGGGTGGGTCGTGGTTGTAATCCTGTACCTAGCAAACTAGGTTAGCTTTAGGTTACGTGTTTTTAGAGTGAAAGTAGGCGCGGGCGTAATATCATATCCCAGTGGCTCCCCAATTTTAGCTGTATATACGGTATGAAAGGTTATATCAGTATGACTGTATTTATTAGCGTGAATGAGAACGGACCTTCAGCAGTAATATCGAGTACCGTGAAACCTGCCAAATTAAGGTTAGGCTAAGTTTGAATGCGTTGGTATGTTTCAGGTTTAGAGCTTTTCCTCTCGAATAGAAAAGCTAAATACGAGTAGAATTCAAGTACCATAAGTTCCATCAGGAAGATCTCCAGGTTTCCTTCGGGAAAACTGATTCTTTTTGGTTGAAACAAAAAACGAGTTGCTGGAGTACCCCTGGTAGTTAGACGGCCGGGAAAAAAATTGTCAGTACTGGACTAAAAAATGAAATTAATTTTTGTAGCAAATTTTTCAATAAATACCATCCAAATTTAATAAAATTACGCTCATCCTTAAATATTTCTGATAATTATTGGACTTGTTCATTAACAATATTTCCTCCAAGTACTATAATAATATCAGTATTTTCTTTCCATTTGTCTGGAAAGTGTGTGACAGAAATTGTTAAAATAATAAATCAGGAGCTGACCTCCAGTGATTTTTGTTTTAATCTGTGCCAAAATTTATTTGTCTCTATACAATCCTATGTAGTTCGATTAGAAAATAAATTTTTATACATATCAATAAATGTTCAATTAAATAAACGGTCTTAACTGCCAAAGGGGGCGTCGGTGGCGACAACGATTTAGGCGTTGACACGGCGCTCATCACTGTAAGATAAAGGTCCCGGGTTCGAATCCAGCGGCCGCTGGACATACTTACAAATGGGCTTTTTTCAAAAACACCGGCACCCTGAGGGTTGATATGACCTCTGCTGTCGCGAACCCTCGTTAAAAAAAATGTGTTGTTTTGTTCTTGTTGAATTTCATTTTAATTAAATTAGTCACTAAATCTGTGATTCAGTCTAGGGTTGATAATGATATTGCTTTTTTATTTACATTATTGCCAAACAAGGATTTATTGAAGGTTTGTCAATTATTCGTGTCTTTAGAATTTTTTTTTTTACTTTTTGGCATCTTTGTAACTAATTTGAAATTATAGTCAACCTCTTGTCTTCGTAGTCAAAATAGTTAAAAGCAAGGGTATTTAACATAGTTACTTGAATATATGTGCTTATCCATTTTAATTATGTTACTTTTCAAGTAGATGCAGGATGATTCATAGCATGCTGACATAGTATCATTAACAATATAAGATTTATGCTTTGTTTATTTTTTTCTTTCCCTTCCTATTTCGCGTAGAGAATTTTGATATTCGTTTATATCTTATACTTTTCCACAGTCACATACTCTATTGAAAAACGAATCGCATAAAATTTCCTTTTCTAAACTAAAATTGGCTATAATTAAAAAAATGACCAATCCTGGAAAAAACATGTCTTGTGGATGTTCCTCAAAAGCAGTTTATGTTTAACCAATATTTTTGAAATGCGTCCAAAATTAAAACTATCTGGGTGAGTAAATCTATGAGTTTTCAGTTCATGTTTTTTTTTACCTCCATTTAAACTAGGTTGTTTTGCATAATTTCTTGAAAGGAGAAACATATTATTTTAATTAACCTGCATACTATCAATCACCATTTGAATTCAGTATGTTAAATTTGAAGAGAGTAGGAATTTTTACTGTTTATTTGTTTTAATTTACCCATGTTATTTTGACGGAGGGTTGGGCCGGCGGTTGGGAGCCTAGAGCGAACCCCCATGGATAATCCGGGTCTGATTTCTGCAATAATATGGTAACCAGCTTCGCCATCGCGATCCCCGCACTACACTCGGTTACAAACACACAAAAATTCCCGATAGATTTGTCACACAACGGCACCGTTTCTATAAACACTGACACATTTGACACGGCCTACAACACTTTGGGTTCAAATGTTTAGAATTAGAACCGTTTAGGATTATCCCTCCCTTGTCTTATCTGACTTTCTCCCAAGAGCCCAAATGTGCATTTTTCTTTGCTTATCGCCATTGTTACAATGACGGAAAATGTTGTCTTTTTGTCGTAAACAAACAACGGCACATCTAATCACAACCAAACTCGAGGATATTTTTAAGCTTCCCTCTAATATAATTCATGATTGGTTTTTTACTACGTGGGCTTAGCCATAGCCCAGTATGTTTGGATTTGAATTGGCGTTTGATAATCGAGTAAAAAATGTATTTGTATTCTGTTTGAGGATGGTTAGGGTTCTTATTAGGAGGGAAAATTCAAAAGGTGAGGTTGAGATGGGAAGTTAGTGTCCAAGTGGATCGAAGTCATGATAGCTCAAGTGGTAGAGCAGCGGCGTATTTAGCCGAAGGTCGTGGGTTCGAATCCCGCTTGTGACACTGACTTTTTTATCTCAACCAATACCTTAAACAAATTAATTAATTGAAATATATTATTTGGTCAAGCGTACCACGAAAACTAGTGAGTTCTTATTAGAGTTACTTTGTTTGGCAGTTTCTAATTATTCAGGTTCACCCTTCCTCGTTTATGACTGACGACCATGCCATCACCGTTCCAGAAAAAAAGAAGAAAAAAGTACAATAAGAATAGAGTATCAAGATCTTCTGAAATGAACGTAGTAGAGGGAGAGGGAGAGAAAACGAAAGAATGTATATCATTGTACTTAAAAATCTTTCAAATTTAAATTCTGGAATGACCTCTACAATTAAAGAGAAAGGGTGAGGGAAAGAGAGTAAATATAGGACAAAAGAGTGAAAGGGACAGAAATTCTATTCTATCGTCTAATAGACCATATTAATTATTTCAATTAATTATTATTTTTATGTGAGGTCTTGGTTGAGATAAAAAAGTTAGTGTCACGAGCGGGATTCGAACCCACGACCTTCGGCAGGTTCTAAGGTCGTGGGCTCGAATCCCGCTCGTGATACTAACTTTTTCGTCTAGACCAAGACCTTATATTAAAAGAATAATAAATAAAGATAGCGATGAAAAATGCACCACCCTTTAGATACTAAGGGAACTAAAATTGTGCATACCCTGATGGCCTTTTTATCCTCCTAGGAGATTTTTTTTTCATGGATTGTTTTCATCTATATGATGTTTAACATTTTTTCCAAGTTTAATTAACGAAAAAACTTATTCAATTTTGTTTAACAAAAATTTTTGTATGATCTCTCTATTATATTATATTAATATATACATTTAATTTTAAAATTTAACAACTGAAATATGTATATATTTTAGGATTCAACAACTGACAATTTTGTCCTTAAAATTAAAATTAAAATATATAAAAAAATTAAACCAAATAAAATTTTATATATATAATAATTATATATTTCTGATTATATTAGATTGATAATTAATATTAGTTTAAAACGATATTTTTTTAAAGCTGGAATATTTTTCATTTAAAAAATATTTATTCCGTAGAGTTGAGAAAGTTTATGCAACGAGATCTAGTGTCTTTAGTCTGAACTAACCAAACATTTTCTTACAGTATAATTTATTAAATGTAGTGAATGTATATTTGAAATATATATTTAAATATAATTCAGTACTTAAAACAAATAAGTTTAATTTAAATCATCCATCTTGATAAATGTGTTAATAACCCAAATACATTGTGAAATGTTGAATACTGTTCCATTGGCTTTTACTTCTCATGGGGTTTTTTCAGTCATTAAGTTCTGTTTATTTAAAAATTTTAAATTTTCCTTTGAAATTAATCTATTAGTATCGAAATTAGAGAGATTTTACTGTAAAGTTAGAACAATAAGCCAAAGATAACATTTTTCCTATCATAAATCTACATTTTTCTCCTTGGATTAACTTTCTACTGCACTTTTAACTTGGAACTTTCACATTTTTATTTTTAGGAAAGTTCCCTGGCATTCTTTACTAATAAAAGAATACATCGTTTCGGTTATTGTAAGACTAGATGTAATTAATTGAGCCATTCCTCGAACACTGAACAATTAAAAAGCCTTGATGATCGACCATTTGGATCAAATGTACAGGATGTTCGGCTCCTCGTACAAATTTGGCCAGTAGATCCTATGTTCAAAATGGTACCAAAAAGTCCTAATTAACTATGGTACTAATCTTAACAGTTTCGGAGTTATTCCCCTTTTTCTGATTTTTTTAAGATTTCACAAACTTGCTTCAAATAAACAATGATAACTCCAAAACTAAAAGGTTTTGGACAAATCTGTTGATACCATTAAAAACTAAGTTAATTTCCAATAAGATGTGATAAATACTAACATTGTAAACTTTGGAGAAATAAGTGTTTTAGTAGCGAGAACTTTGAAAAAAAAATTTTTTTCAACGTTGAAAAACTGACTATGGTGATTCTAAACTTCTATTTCCAAACCTAGAGACTAGCAAATTTCAGAAAACGTACTCCATTTAATATCCTTTTTAGGGTGTAATGCTTTGTATAAATGCTTTTTTAATTATAAAAATTATAAATTTGTAAACGTTGGGGAAAAAAGCGTTTTAGTAGCCAGAACTTTGAAAAAAAAAATACTGTTTTTCAAAGTTGAAAAACTTACTATGGTGATTCTATTTCCAAACTACTATTCTACTATTTCCAAACCTGGTCTCTAAGACCAGCAAATTTCAGAAAATGTACTCCATTTAGTATCCTTTTTAGTGGTGTAATTGCTTTTTTAATTACTTTTTTTTTCAAAGGAGAAGATAACTATGGCTACTTTTTTTATATTTTCAATCCAATCCGTCAACCGCGATTTTTTCCGTTCCTTCATCAATTTCTTCACAATTGACAAAGTAATTAAAAACGCAATTACACCACTAAAAAGAATATTAAATGGAGTACGTTTTCTGAAATTTGCTAGCCTCTAGGTTTGGAAATAGTAGTTTAGAATCACACAGTAAGTTTTTCAACTTTGAAAAAAAAATTTTTTTTTTCAAAGTTCTCGCTAATAAAACGCTTATTTCCCCTAAGTTTACAATGTTAGTATTTATCATATCTTATTGGAAATTTAACGAAGTTTTCAATGGTATCAACGGTTTTGTCCAAAATCTTTTAATTTTGGAGTTAACCTTGTTTATTTGAAGCAGGGTCGTGAAATCGTAAAAAATCAGAAAAGGGTAAATAACTCTGAAAATGTTGAGATTCGGACCATAGTTAATTAGGACTTTTTGGTTCTATTTTGAATGGAGAATCTACTGGCAATGTTTGTAACAAGAAAAGCCGAACACCCCATATCTCATTCCTTTAAAAAATTTAATATCTAATGAAAATTTATATTTTTTTTAAGTTTAAATAAGCTCTCTCTCTCTCTCTCTCTCTCTCTCTCTCTCTCTCTCTCTCTCTCTGCATGTCTGCTGTCTGTCTGTCTGTCTCTCTCTTCTCTCTCTCTCTTCTCTCTTTCACACACACACACCCACACAAACTCGATCCTCCCCATTTCAATTGACAGTAAATTATTTGCTCATGGCTCAGAAAGAAAAATTTCGGAACAATTTCGTTAAATAACATTAATTTCTGTTCACTTTTCCCAACAGCAAAAATGATTAATAAATAAATTGGTGATTTGTTGAAAAAGTTGGAGAAGTTTTCCTTTAACCAAAAAACATTTTTTTCCTAGTAACTTGGTTGCTCCAAATTAAAAACCGTGCACTATTGCATTTAGCGTCAACAAACCTTTCAAAAAATGTACATTGATTCCTATTTTTCCATTTGAAATAGTTAAATAGTTAGTTTAGTTCCGTATCCTGTTATCCTGAAAAGTTGGATCAAAACTTTTTGGGGGTTTTCCACAAATGCCGTAAGATCGAAACTAGAGTTTGGTCAAATTGGTACACACCATATTCCCACCCTCGATAAACATGTTTAGAATAATTTTCCACCGCAGAGGGGAAAAAAACTGATTCCACGCTTTCAAGGTGTTTGACCATAATCGGACAACGATTTAGTCACGCTCGCCCGATGGCTCGGTTAGCAGTCAATGTCAATCGAAGAATTGGGACAAGGCCGTTTTGGGAAGAAAAGCAGGAAAAGGAAACGTGAACTTTTGAAACGTTTGCATTTGACATTTTCACCAGAGGAAGGATGTCGGCTAATACGGCCAATAGACCGGCCATCTGATTGAAAACGATTATGTTTTGCGAGTGTAAATAAACCGTGTTTAAAAATTATACAAATTGAATGAAATTGAAGTTGTCCATCTGTCAGATCAAAACTGCGTGTGGATCTACACGTAGAACTTAACAAAATCTCACAATGATATAGAAATTGTCATAATTGGTTATCTCCACTATAAGTCGAATTTAAACAAAATTAATCATACTTGATCAAGATGATTTCTCTATAAAGGTATAAAATACAGGTTCAAAGGTCATTTTTATTTCTTTTACTTGCCCTCAAGAAGTTAACCCATGCTGAAAATAAATATCAACCCATAATATTATGTTAATTCATTCGAATTAAGATGTGCATATCTACGAAAGGAAAAAGAAAAAAAAAGACTCTCACGCCGCGGTCGTGGGTTCGATTCCCACCGTTGCCCCTGGCCCTTTTTTCCCAATAACCCCCCAAATTTGAACACACATATACGAATTTGTCACATGGCTAATATGCATAGTTCATAACGCAAAAAAAAAATATTAAAAAAAAAAATAAAAAAAAAAAAAACGACCACTTTTCCCTCATTAATCATATTATTTGTATAAGCAAATTGCACGCAATGTGACCCACTTTACATTTTAATTTAATTTTTACATGTATGCATACATTTTAATTATTTTTATTGCACGATGACATATAAAGCGGATTTTCGACTGTATTTTGTATATATTTTAAGCGAAAAGACAGTAGAACTCGAGAATGAAGATGTTTTGTTTTTGAAAAAACGCCCCTCGTTCAAACAAATAATAATATATATGTGTTATAATTTATAAAAATTTATGTACATAACATATGAATAAAATGATAGGTTCCTATCTGCCTACCACTTTCTTAGGTGTCTTCCCTCCCCCTATCTCATCGCTTTTATTTGACTCTATAAGGCGAATTCAACCCAATTTTTTTGACGAAATTTTTTTTACAATATAAATTTTATTCTATGGACACGTGTAAAAATTGAAACAGTTTATAATCCTTTAATAGGTAAAATAATTACAAAACTATGCGAAATTAGCTCTGTGAGAGTCAAGTTGGCAAAATGGACTTAAAATTCACTGTCACAGCCGCACAATCCCTTTCACTCTTTTATCACCATATTGGTTTCTTTCTTTCTATCTTTTAAATTTCTTTTCTTTTTCTTCCTTCTCTCTCTCTCCCTCACTAACTATGCTTCTGTTCTCTCTAACAATCTATCGGTTTATCTTTATTATAATTTGTCCCTTTAGGACTTTCCTAACTATCTCTGTTTTCTCTTTTTTCTTTTATTTTAATTTCCCTTTCTCTCTCCTCTCTCTCTCACTGCTAACTCTTCTCCAGATCTTTCTAACAATCTACCTATCAATCTTTACTATTAATTAATCTTTATACAAGGTATTAATTGAGATAAAAAAGTCAGTGTCACGAGCGGGATTCGAACCCACGACCTTTGGCTTAATACGCCGCTCACCTAACCACTTGAGCTATCGTCCAGTCGAATCATCAATCATCTCCGTAGCCATTTCATTCGTCACCGAGAATCGAAACCTGATTACACGGCTAACGGTGGGTTCGAATCCCGCTCGTGACACTGACTTTTTTATCGCAACCAATACCTTGCATAAAGATTAATTAAATGGAAAAAAGTTAATTGGTCAATCGGCCACGAACTCTTTTTTTCACTGACGGACTTTTTTTTAAATATCTTTGCGTCTTTTTTTGTTTTATCTAAACTTCCCTTCCTCTCGCCTCTCTCTCACTTTCTCGCTCTCTCTCTCTCACTCTCTCGCTCTCTCTCTCTCTCTCTCTCTCTCTCTCTCTCTCTCACTCTCTCTATCTATCTCACTTTTGATCACTTACATATCCTTTTCCTTTTCGTTGTTTTCTCACTATATTTATTTCTCTTCATCTCTCTTTCTTTCTTTCTTTCTCGTTATCTATGTATCTTTCTATCTATCCATCTATCTCAATATACCATTCTGTTCGTGTTCATTTACTCGCTTGAATTCTACATAAATTTCCTTATTTTTTAAAAATAACTATATTGTATTATGTACTATGCATATTTTTATCTTAAATAAAACCTGCCTGTCCCTTTTCAGTCATATTTGCAGTGTGTACTTTATTGTTTATTATTAAATGGCCTTCAACCATTTTGGGTCAATTTTACTCTCGATTGTTTAACTGTACAGAGAAGATAAGTTTAGTTAATTTTTTTTTCTTAGTCTCTCTTTGGTTTAAGGTTATAAAATATGGCATTGATCTGAAGGGACTTCTGTGTTTATTAACGTGCCTACCGGCCAAGGCAACATGAAGCATGTAGCAACATATATTTAAGATTTTTCTTTGTTTTAACTACAGCTTGTGATAGTAGTGGTGGTAACATTTCTATGTTGAGTCTTATTTATTGTTGACGTTCTTATTGTTTGTATTCGTTATTTATAAATACTTGTTTTCGGTTTATTATTAAACATGTGACCAACTGCCTTAAAATATACTTAAATGAAGCACAAAGCAAAAAAAAAAAAGATCTAGGAGGAGAGAAGGAAATAAAAGAAAAAGGGAAAATGTTGACTACAAATTTTCCAGAAAAATATCGCGACATAAATAGCTACAGTATTTGCTTATTGATTATCGCAAATTCGTTGAATTTTTAATTGGAGCGATGACGGATCAACGTGCACTTATAATGAAGATTTTCCACGCGATCTGCACCCTTCTCTGTACGAAAACATATTAAATTTGAACCAAAACACCGTCTATGAACGGGTCTAGGATTTGTTTTTTTATTCTCTCATTCAACCGTTTCAAGTATGTGGAACGTCAGAGAGTGGTGGGGAATTATATGAGGCTAACTGTTGTTCCCTAAGACCTTCTGGAACAGTGTAGCTGCATCCGTCCGACGTTCAACATGCCGAACTGCCCCAAGTGCGAAAAGCCTGTCTACTTTGGTCAGTATTGATTATTTATTAAGATCAAATTTTTGGGAAAGGTGCCGTGTACGTTTTAAAAGCTTTTGAAAACTTACAAGTGGGTCATCGGACCAGAGTGGGGATCCAAGTCCTATTTCATTCAAAACACTCATTCCAGGAGTTGAAAACTTACCCAGAGTTTTATTAAATATCTAATGAGAGATCATAAATTAATGAGATCAGCTAATAAGTGTGTTTTTTCTATTAGTAAAATAGACGACATCCAGTGTTGATTTTTTCTATAAACAGTTTCACAAACTAAAATTTATAAATTTATTACATGACAGACCAATCAAAAATTACATATTTATGAAATATATTTGAACTTAACTAATTTTTTTAGGCTGTAAAGATTTTTTTGTTTTTTAAGTACTTAAGTGACATCAGGATAGCTCATATAATAGAAAACAGAACAAAGAATCGAATAACGAAATGCTTACTCTAACTCAATATATTAAAGTAAAATTGTAAACTTAAAGTAATTAAATTTCATAAAATATTTAAATACGAAGCCTTAATGATAATTCTTTGGATCATTTTATAAATATTCCTATCTGGGATTACTGATAAGATGTGATTTAAGTACTTAATTGAAAAAAAAAAAAACGACTAATTAGAAACGACTTTGAAAGAAAGTAGGCCAAGGGATATTATTTGCTTTTATTCAAAATATAATTGATACATGTACAGGGTTGTTTTCTTAAAAAAATAACAAACGATTTTTTTTTATAAACGTACTCAGTCAAACCGTGCTACAATGCTATAAACAATCCCATGTAATTCGGAATTGTTTCTTGTTGAAAGTCAAATTGGAAAAATTACAAACCGACGTCGAGATAAGAGCCAATCGTCGTTTTTTTGGACTTGGTCGACAACACATGGTAAATTTTCGCCAGTTAACTAATCTTTCTAAATCGGCGTATGACATCACGGTTTTTGAATAAAATATCACTTTAACCTGACTCATGCATGCAGCAGACGTTTCAACCGTTTATTTTTCGCATGGGAAAAAAACACCTTTACATATTTGGAGTTAAAATTTGAAAATCTTAAAAAAGACAGGGTTCGTAATCAGTTTAAGTAAGGTTTTTATTGAATTGTACAAAAAAACAACTAATGACCTCATACAATTTCAAGGGCGTAAACAACACAATGCGTCTTATTCAGACTTCAGATCTGAGGCTTATCGCAGTCTGTACCGAACCCACTGTTTTCATACGTCACTTGTTATTCAGATGAATACAATATTCTTAAATCGTAATTTATAATCCAGTAAGTTCTAATATTATTTTCTCAAAATAATAAGTCAGTTCCTATATTTTTTTTTATAATGCATACTCATTTTTTTGATATTTTGGTTCTCACTAATAATATTGCAGCAAATTAGTACGATTGGAATAATCTTTTCCCCTTTTAAAATAAAATATAATCATGTTAAAAAACACCTTTACATATTTGGAGTTAAAATATGAAAATCTTAAAAAAGACAGTGTTCGTAATCAGTATAAGTAAGGTTTTTATTGAATTGTCCAAAAAAACAACTAATGACCTCATAATCATGTTATTTATTCTCTCTCTGTCATCCTCTCTTTCTCTCTCTCTCTCTCTCTCTCTCTCTCTCTCTCTCTCTCTTTCTCTCTCTCTCTCTTTCTCTCACTCTCTTTCACTTTCTCTTTCTCTCNACAGTGTTCGTAATCAGTATAAGTAAGGTTTTTATTGAATTGTCCAAAAAAACAACTAATGACCTCATAATCATGTTATTTATTCTCTCTCTGTCTCTCTCTCTTTCTCTCTCTCTCTCTTTCTCTCACTCTCTTTCACTTTCTCTTTCTCTCTCTCTCTCTCTCTCTCTCTCTCTTTCACCCTCTCTTTATCTCTCTCTCACTCTCTCTCTCTCCTTCCTCTCCCTCTTCTCCCTTCTTTATCTCTCTCCCTCCCTCCCCCTCGCTCTCTCTCTCTCTCTTTCTCTCTCTATCTATCTATCTATCTATCTATATATCTATCTATCATTCTCTTATCTACATTTCTCACTCTCTCTTTCTATATATTTTTTTTTCTATTTCATGTTTGGAGAAAACAAGAGTAAATTAAAATAAACACAGCCCATAAAAACCGACCACTTGCCTTTTGCACGAAAAATTGCCAAATTTGAAAATGCATGTTTTCTCAGACTTTTAAGTCACAGACCTGCGCTAGATGTAATTTGTTAGAAAATTTTACGCTGAACAAGATGGCTTATTTCAATGTTTTCCTAGCTTCAGTCGTTCATCAGTAAATTGAAAAATTCGGGAACATACCAATTTTTGCACTTATTACGAAAACTTCAAATCGACCTGTGCAGCCAGGAAATCGTCCTGGAGAAGCGCACTATCGCAATCGATTGGAAATTTTAATATGCTTTCAATTGGTCACCTTCCACTTTGCCCGATTTCTCAATCGTTTTCGAGTTATTCGTGATTTTTGGGGCAAAAACGTTGTTTTTTAGTGATCATGGAAAAACTGTTCACTCTCTCCACTATTATCGAGAATGCATAAATTTTGAACCGTCATGTGTTTGCAAATTTCCCACTCTACATCTTGTGTTCCGAAGACTTTAAAAAAATGAACAGGGAAGCATCAGTCTATCTCTATTTCGCTTTCTTTCTCTCTCTCTCTCTCTCTCTCTCTCTAAATTGAAAAATTCGGGAACATACCAATTTTTGCACTTTTTACGAAAACTTCAAATCGACCTGTGCAGCCAGGAAATCGTCCTGGAGGAGCGCACTATCGCAATCGATTGGAAATTTTAGTATAGTAGTATTTTTTTTCTCTCTCTCTCTCTCTCGTCTCCCTTTCACACACACACACACACACACTCACACTGTGATAATCTTAGGATAAACCCAAAAATTAAGTATCATGATGTTGTAAAGTACATACAATCCCTCTCTCTCTCTCTTTCTCTCTTTCTCTCTCTCTCTTCTCTCTATCTATCTATCTATATAATTATCTCTCTATCTCTCTCTCTCTCTTATGGTGCTCAAAAACTCGGAAAAGTTTTTTATCTTAAGATTAATTCTAAGTTGGCTTAATGGTATTTATCGTCTACTTGTAATTCTATTATCTGTTTAAAATTTTTCTGTGTCTTTTTTTTAATTTAACCATTTTCAAAACTAGTTTTTCGTTTCTAATTCAATCTTACATATACGGTTGACCAGCCGTTAAATTACTGGACCGAAAATTTTTCGATTTTTTGCTTTAGCGCCTTGAAGAAAATCATGCTGACATCCACTGGAGTCGGATTAACGATTACATTTCAATATCTTCAAGGGCTGTGATTCATCATGCTGACCGCAAGTCTGAAATGAGAGATGAAATCGTTTATATGCACTGACCCTGCAATTTTACTTTCTTCCATATATGGTTGATAATAAACCCATTTTTGGCGGGCCTTGTCAGCGATTGGCCTTCGCCCAAACGCCGGGTTGTCTGTTTAGAAAAATGGCAGTCTAAATTGGAAATATATTGCGAACTCGGTTTATTTTGTACGCCGTAGATAAGTGTGGACAGGCTGTGCCCTAAAAAATGAGAAAAAGTAGGTTTGACCATGAAATAAGGAATGCAAGGAAAGAAAAATTAATTTGTTCTTCAATATTATAAAAAGTTCAGACTTGACTCAAATCGTAACATATAATTATATTAAACTAAAAAATATTTATTTATTACATTGATCGAAAAGTTCTTTTGATAGATAAAACGTGACATAATTCAAAAGATACTTCGCTATTTCCAATTTCAAAGGTTTCTCTTAGAAAAGTTTAGTGATTTTAATTGATCTAATACAAGATATTGTATTTTTTAAAGAAAGAATGTGGTTGTACAAAGATCAGGGACGTTCTATCAAGAATGTCGAAAAGTTCGTGGTCAGGGACAGCACACCGTATCGCCGTGTTTATCCGGTCTTACGCAACCCAGAGGTTCCATTTCCTTTGAATCGGTACCAGGAAGGAGAGGGCGGATGTGTCCTAAAGGAATGCAAACAAAGAGGAACCGTCCGAAAACGCCATCCGGCGGAATACTAATCGAAAACTGTTCACTCCCTTTTCCGTGGTGATACCATCAACGATCCGACATTCCAGCTCCAAATTAGCCTCATCGCGTTGTTTATAAAAGGCGTACGAACCTGAGAGAATATTGATGCAGGTCGAATTGATATTCCGAAGAGCTTGTCTCGCTCAATAAACAAGACATGCGTTAGTCTTTGATTGGACGATATTACTGGAAATGTCCAAAACCTCTAGATTCACATATACGTACCTATTTGCCAGATAAGGTAAACAAAAGACGTTTAAAGTTTAGTACAAAACGTAAAATTACGCTAACTGGATTTGATTTTAGGACAAACGAGTTTTGGCACGCACTGGCGTGAATTGTTCTTCTGCCAGGGCTCAGTTCCTCTTATGTGGTATAAAGAATTTTGACATTTCTTAAGACTTATGCTTGTTGAATAAACATATACAGTTTTCACTTTCCTGGGTTCTTGGGAGCTTAAAATGCCTAGCGATAGTTCATGTTTTGAAAAAGACTGAAACCGATCTTGTAAAAGCATTGTGTTTTTTGAATAATAGAATATGTTTTAATTATTATGCTAAGTATGGTTGAGTTGAAAAAATTAACGTCATGAGCGGGATTCGAACCCACGACCTCCGGATCTCCTCTCGTGGCACTAATTTTTCAACTCAATCATACTTTGCATAATAATTAAAGTAATTACTTTCTGTGGTGATTAGTGACCGTTAGTCGATGATTATTCGGAAATCGCGAGACGCGGTCTGGTGTGATGTAGGTTTCAGAAAAACATTTTCTTTATCGTGCCAACGTTTCGATCTTTATTGAGATCATCTTCAGGGCCTGGGATTTATTNTTAAAGGTAGAGTTAATTTGAAAGTCAATAAATTTAATGTAAGATTAAAAACTGTTAATTCTAAGTTAAAAACAGT